TATCTCCCGAGTCAAAGAAGGACCCCTCACAACCCTGGAGAGCTCCCCAAAATAAGGCTACTCAAAAGGCTACTTGGAGCCTGTACCTTTTCCTTGCTGTGCCCATCAGCCACCCCTTGCCCACCAGTTGAGTTACCTGCTGTACTTCCCCTTGCCTCCTGAGAGGACCCCTCCACTCAGGGTGCCACCCGAGAGGGCAGCGAAGCTGGCGGTCTCGCTGTAGTTGCCCTGCATGACACTGAGCCCATCCGTGGGGCTGCCACTGGTGCTGAGCACACTGGTCAGCCCCTCAATGCTGCTCTCACCAATGCTGGGGTTCTTCAGGGCTCGCCAGGCATCGGCCACTGCGGGGAGAGGGAGCACAGGAGTCAGAGGCAGCAAGGGAAGCGGGTGGAGAGCAGGCAGCACGTGTCTCAGCCCAGGGAAGAGCTGAGAGTTTACTTTGAGTGCTACACAGCTGGTCACCAGCAGAAGAGTGAAGCAAATAACTGCTTCTAGCCAAGCCCAGGTAAGGAGAGATGCTCACAGAAGAGTGAGGGTTGGGAGGGACCTCTGGAGATCATCTCGTCCAGCCCCCCTGCTCCAGCAGGGCACCCACAGCAGGGTGCCCAGGATGGCATCCAGGTGGGTTTGGAATCTCTCTAGAGAAAGGAGACTCTACAACCTCTCTGGGAAGCCTGCTTCAGGCTCTGCCATCCTCCCAGCAAAGAATTTTTTCCTCCTGCTCAGGTGGAACCTCCTGGGTTCCAGTTTGTGCCCATTGCCCCTTGTCCTGTCGCTGGGCACCACTGACAAGAGTCAGGCCCCAGCCTTTTAGCCCCACCCTTTAGATATTGATAAGCAGATATTTATTCAGATTTGGGAAATGTGAAGACCTCCTACTATTTCCCACAAAAGGCAATGACAGGGTCTTGCCTCCCCCCTTCCCTCCACCAGTGATCCCATTACCTGTGATAGGTCCATCGTCCTCATCGAACTCGATTTTGACGCCCTTGCCGTTGGCAGTGCTCACCCCACAGCCCCCTCCTCGGCACAGAGAGATGGGCACCACGCCGTAGACATAGGCCAGCATGATGGGCACTCCAATGCCTGGAGAGCAGAGTGGGATGGCTGAGTTAAGAGCAGCTTAAGGCTGAGCTGAGCAGGCAGAAAGGACTCCTTGGGGCAGGGAGTCTTTCGGTTGTGTTCGTGTCGCTTTTAAAGGTCTTAGTTCACAGCTGGGCAGACCCAGTGCTGCTGCAGTGCAGAGGGAGGGGACCCCAAGAGTGCAGACAGCCTCAGCTGAGCCCCCAGGACACCAGCCACCAAACCAGCTCACGGGTAAGAGACAGCTCTGTGTATCAAAGGGCTCCAGCACGGGCTGTGGCACAAGCCACTGGTGCTCCAGACAAGCCCAGTGCTGGCTCCAGGCCAGCTCCAGCACATGGGGACGTGCAGCCTGGATGTGAAATGGAGATAGATGCCCAGAGGAGCACACAGCACCAGTCTGCAGACTGCCCTTTGGCCACCCCCATCTCACAGGGCTGGGCTACCCACTTGTCTCAGTGACTACTGGCCCACCAGCAGGGAAAGGGACTGTGCCCACTTACCAACACTGACAGCAGCGATGACTGGAGAGGCAATGACAGACAAGGTGACCCCACCAGTAATGGCCAAGTTCCTCTTGTGCTTAGAGGTTTTCTTTCCCTCATACCTGCTGTGGATCTGATGGAAGGAGAAGCACCAGGTGAGAACAGAGCCTGGCCACGAGCAAACACCAGCAGGAAGCATTCATAAGCTTGTGATTTTACAGCCTTGTTGGCTGCATTAGCCCTTGAAGAACCTCATCTTGACCACAGATGTCCTCACAGATCACATTTAGAGGTTGATCTGTGTTTAGGAAGCAGCTACAAATACAGTGCTGCAATAATGCCATTTCCCCCCTCTTCATCAGCACAGACACACAAGAGCATGATGCAGTTTGGGGCAGCAGGTCAGCATGGAAACAAAACGTGATGCTCAGGGTCCAGCCACTGTCCCAGCCATTTCCTCCCTCTCAACACCTCTTCATCAGCACAGACACACAACAGCATGATGCAGTTTGGAGCAGCAGGTCAGCATGGAAACAAAACATGATGCTCAGGGTCCAGCCACTGTCCCACAGAGCCCATCATCACAGGATGTGCTAAAAAGGGACCAGGTGTTTCCTTGTATGCTCCTGGTTCAAGGCAGAAGCTCAAAAGCAATTCAAAAATGGGGTTGACAGGACTTCAGCTTCTCCCTATCAGCCACCACCTTCCCTCTCCTCACACAAAGCCCAGAAGATAAGACAAAGAGAAGGAGAGACAACTGATCCACCCTTCATATCAGCTCCACATTTCTGCTCAGATGCCTTGAGTACAGAGAATGCCCCAAAAGCCCCAGATCTCTCAGTTCCAACCTTGTGCTCTCCACACTTACCTTCCTCCCGACATAGACGGGGATGCCAATGACCATGGCAGGAATGGCAATGCCAGCGATGAGGGAGATGCCTACAGGAGCACCAATCAACGTGCCCAGCTGCCAGAGAATCTTCTTTTTACGACTCCATGGCTTTTTGCCCCAGAATGTACAGCCAGAGGGGCTTAACAGAAGGAAAAAAAAATGACATTAACACCACAGCAATTCCCAAGTGCTCCCGAGAACCTCAAGTTGAGCTTCCACATGAACAAACCCCAAAACTTAGGAAGCAAATAGACAACATAAAAAAGGTTTCCTTCTTTTTCCCTCCATCAAGATTAATTTGTTCATCAAGGTGATTGTCACACTACTGGGACTGTGTTTAATATTCAGTACACTAAGAGCTCTCAAATGCAATGGTACCAGGAGGAGTTTTTCTTGGCATGGAAGATCATCCTCCTACTGTAACACGGGGAGTAAGTTCAGATCTTTGGGTGAGAAAGAAGCAAATTTGACTGACCAACTGGAGAGGCAGGAGGATGAAAGGCCAGCACACGAAGGGAACTTCTCCAGCAGCCTCAGAGAAGTGTGTTCTACCCTCACTGTGCTGCTCCCCTCCTCACCTGAGGTAATGCAGGTCTGAGATCTCCTTCATGCAGAGCCAGCAGAACTCGCAGCCACACACGGCACACGTCATGTGGTTACAGCTCCCGTCGTTCATCTTGATGATGTAAGCACTGCAACGTGGGCATGGCTTGATGTCATCAGCTAGGGGGAGGAAACATGGCATTGAGTTGGGCTTGGGGCTGTGAGCATGGAGAATCAACGAGGGGAATCTTGTTATGGACTCAAACCCTTGTTTGCTGTGCGGGGCAACCACAGGTCAAGTGGGGATGGTTCCATCTTCAGAGTGAGGAGATAATATGGATGACAAAGAGCCCACCAAAGCCATTTGCCTGGACAGCAGGGACTGAGAAAAGACACTTTAAAAGCTTATTCTGGCTTTGAATGGGACTGTGCTGGTTTTGGGGTTCAACCATGACAGGGATGTACTCCAGAACATGCTTAAAGGCTGGGAACGAGCCATACCTGCCCTGTGCCAGCCAAGGCAACAGTGTAAGAATGAACCATTGCTAAATTGCTCCACTGAGGTGATTCATGGGCCAAGAATGACAGAACAGTCAGGAGAACATCGGAGAAACTCCAAACCTGGGTTCAAAAGCAGCCAAAAGGGGAACAGGGTCTAGGGCTGCACACGGGAGTCCAGTGTCCCCAGCCTGCTGCTGGCAGAGTGGGAGAAGGGGCCTTCATCTCCTCCTTAATTCCAGCATCATCTGATCCCAGTTATGCAATGGCTGTGCTGTGGTTCAGGGCTCTGCTGGCAGCCTCTGCAACCCCTGACAATATGAAATCCAGCTGCTGAGACCAGCTCACACCTTATTAATCACTATATTGAATCCAGCAAGAACAGGGTGGGGAAAAACCACTGTCTCAAGAACCTCCCTTTCAGTGGCTAAGTGCTAAGCTCTTCCTGGCAGGGATCTACTTTAAAAGGATGAAAAAAAACCACTTGGAAACTATTTTTTGCTTGCTGGTTTGCACCACAGGCTGGGGTAGTGTCTATGCTGTCCATTACCAGGGCCCTCTAACTGGGGCACGTTGAACCTCGACATACCACTGAGCCACCTCTGAACCACCCACCACAGTTCCATTCTAAGTAAGTGTTTTAACATTTGCATTCCTGACACAGAAGGGGAAAAAAAAAATGGGTGTTTTGTCTGGGGCTAGGGTAGGACTTTCTGAAACGGCCTTGGTGCCCACTTCCAGAGCCAATGCAGTTGTTTTTACTGAACATGAACTCAGCAGACACAGCAGCTCCTACCAGGCAGTGTAGGAGCTTGCAGGCTGGCATTTTTTTTCTGTATCTAACATTTCTAACACCAACCAGTGCCCAGAGCAAAGCTCCCCACGCTCAGCTACCCATTAATGCTACTTTTTTACTACCACAGCAGGCAAATTTGAAGCTGTGAGCATAAAAAGCATCTGTTTGTTCAGGGTACAGATCAGTGAGAACATCCAAGATCAGAAGAGCCACGAGCCTGGCTGGATGAGCTGCTGTGAAGGACCCAAAGCACACTGTCACCTACAGATCTGTTTTGGGTTGTTGGAGGAGCCTGTTGGATCTGTTCTAAAGCTCCCAGGAAGGGGAAATGATTTGGAGTTTCACAGCCAGTCTCAGTGGTGGCTGCTGGGGACCTTCAGCTGGGCAGCAGTGTGCCCCACAGGGCACAGACACCCCCCAGCTTTGATGGTGACATGAGAAAGATGGAGTTAAAAACTTTTTGGCTGAATAAGCATAAAACAAACTGGTCTGAAACCAGGATAACAAGAACAGAAAAGCCCCTAAGACTAAAGGACAGAATGACCTTGGAGGTTAAAATAACCAGAAACGAGACACAGTAATAAAGAGCAGTATCTAGAGACAGTAAAATCCTGTCAGACTTTGTAGATAATGCCCCATTCTGGCTTCTTTACATAAAGCAGAGACAGATTTGGCCAAAGATCAACATCCAAAGTGTCCCTGAGATAACCTGGGGTGATTTTAATATGAAAACCCACAGCTCTAGGAGGAGAATTTAAATGCAAATGTCGGGTCACCTTAGCATAATGAATTAGGTAATAGTACAATCAATTAGGTAATAGTCTAATGAATTAAGGAACCGAAGGAGCATGAGCAGAAGGATTTGTGTGATGTAAAACCAACCAACCAATTGTTTGGAGTTTCTTTGTTATATGTGTGCTGTACATAAACTGCTGCTGCTTCTGCTAACGGGTGGGGAGTTGCAATTTACCTCCCAGCCAACATCTCATAGAACATCTGGGCTGGAAGGGACCTCCAGAGGTCATCTAGTCCAACCCCCCCACCATAAACAGGGACATCTCCAACTAGATCAAGCTACTCAGAGCCTCATCCAGCCTGATCTTGAACGTCCCCAGGGACGGGGCCTCCACCACGCCGCCGCGTTGCCCGACTCTCCACATGAAGGCCCCTTTTTGGGGACCACCACGAGGGGGGGAGTTTGGCATGCAGGTGGCTCTTTCTCAGCATCACGGGGGTCCCTGCAGCCCGGGGGTGACCAGAAGAAGGGGGAAGCCATACCTGGCCCAGACTCCTGGCCGTAGCTGAGGCCCGAGGTGTGCTTGGTGCGGGCGCGGAGGGCCTGGGCCCGCTGCTGGCGCGCCATGTCGCACGTCTGGTTGGGGTGCCAGATCTGCTTGCAGTGATAGCAGAACTCTGTCTGGCAGCCGTCCCTCTCACAGGTCAGCTTGGGGCAGCTGGCACAGCCGTAGGCAATGACCGCGTACCTGCGGGAGGAAGACACGGGGAGAGGGAGGAGAAGAGCAGAGTTATCAAGAGACAGGTCCGGGGAGGTGGGGTCGGTCTCTGCTCCCAAGTTACTAGCTATAGGATGAGAGGCAATGGGCTGAAGTTGCCCCAGGGGAGGTTTTGAGGGGATTTTAGGAAGAATTTATCTCCTGGCAGAGTGGTGAGGGATTCCACCAGGCTGCCCAGGGAGGTGGTGGAGTCCCCA